CCTAGCCCAGCCTATCCCCGACCGCCCCGACGGGGACCGAGGCTGGTCCGCCCGCCGCAGCAGCCAGCCAGCCATGGAGGACGCGGCCAGGTACGCGCACAGCCCGGCCCACCTGGCCGTCTACCGGCGGGACCACGCGGCGCTGCGAACCCTCGTCGCGGCCCTCCCCCGCCTGCCGCGCGCGGGCGAGGTCACCACCGAGGCGGAGTCGATCGCGGGGGAGCGGGTGGCGGACGCGGTCTCCGCCGTCATCGACCGCCGCGACGTGCCGCGGAGGGAGACCCCGCTGCACCTCGCCGTGCGCCTCCGCGACCCCGTCGCCGCCGACCTGCTCATGTCGGCCGGCGCCGACTGGTCGCTGCAGAACGCCGACGGCTGGTCGGCCCTGCAGGAGGCCGTGTGCACGCGCGAGGACGCCATCGCCACCATCATCGCGCGCCACTACCAGCCGCTCGCCTGGGCCAAGTGGTGCCGCAGGCTCCCCCGGGTGCTCGCCTCCGTCTCCCGCATCCGCGACTTCTACATGGAGATCTCCTTCCACTTCGAGTCCTCCGTCATCCCCTTCATCGGCCGCATCGCGCCCTCCGACACCTACCGCATCTGGAAGCGCGGGGCCGCGCTGCGGGCCGACATGACGCTCGCGGGGTTTGACGGCTTCCGCATCCAGCGCTCCGACCAGACGTTCCTGTTCCTGGGCGATGGGGCGCGGCCGGAGGATGCTGGGGGTAAGGAGCTGCTGCCGGGTTCTCTGATAGTGCTGTCTCATAAGGATAAGGAGATCACTGATGCGCTGGAAGGGGCCGGCGTGCAGCCTACGGAGTCGGAGGTGGCTCATGAGGTGGCATTGATGTCCAAGACGAATATGTATCGCCCCGGGATAGACGTCACGCAGGCGGATCTTGTGCCGCACGTGAATTGGCGCCGGCAGGAGAGGACTGAAGCCGTGGGGCAGTGGAAGGCAAAGGTGTACGATATGTTGAATGTTCTGGTGACCGTTAAGTCGAGACGGGTCCCTGGGGCAATGACAGATGAGGAGCTGTTTGCGATGGATGGCGAGGAGAAAAATGGGAGGAGCGCAGAGCTTGAAACCGAGTTGGATGAAGTCTTGACTGCCGAGGAGAGGAAGCAGCTTGATTCTGCGTTGAGGGGGAACCAGGAGGAGGAATCCGACGATAGGGCCGAGGAAGGTGACAAAGGGGCTGATCATTTGGATGCAAACGGTGCCGGGAAAGACAAGAAGGGGTGGTTTTGGAACGGCAAGAAAGGTGCCAAGAATGATGAGAAGGCACCCAAGGCAGTGAGCAAGGATGAATCAGGTGATGCAGGGAAGGGAAAGGAGAAGGGCAACGGCAAGAAGAAGAAGGGTGGTGTCTCATCTGGGGATTCTAATAAACTCGAAAGTGAGTACAAGAAGGGGTTAAGACCAGTGTTGTGGTTGACACCGGATTTCCCTTTGAAGACGGATGAGCTGATCCCTTTGCTCGATGTACTAGCAAACAAAGTGAAGGCTGTTAGAAGGCTTAGGGAACTCTTGACAACCAAGCTGCCTACAGGCACATTTCCAGTCAAGGTAACCATCTGTCAACATGATTATATTAGCCCGTTTTATTCCAGTCATTTAACGAGCTCTGATTGATTCATTTTCCTGTTTATCTCAAGTCAAAGTTTGCATGCTTATTCTTTCTCAACGGTCTGGGTGCTATGCAACCGTTACTGTGGGATATCTGTTACCAGCCTGACCACCATGCTATGTTGTATTCGTTTTCCCTTGCTGGGATATCTGTGATCATTCACATATAGTGTTGTTTGGACCTCTACTGTGAATTTTTATCTTTTGTTGTTCCTGGCTCTGATCTGAATATCTGAACTAAGGCAATTGCAATGCACACTTACTTTAAGGGGACTCGAAATGTTATAAGGGCAGCTCGCACCCAAGCTATCGAAACACTGAATCCTATATCTTGCACTAACAAGGACACAATCATGAGATGTGGTCTTCACCATCCCCCTGCTTTGCTAGAAAATATGATTATCCTTGTACAGTATTGTCTTTACTTTCACAAAAACAACAAATAATTAAATATAAGCAAACCTTTTCTTTGAAGTTACTGGAGTCAGATAAGGGATTTTATATTTGGGCCAAAACGACAGACACAGCTTATAACATGCAACATATGGTAGACTCTTTCTAGGATTTAGATACATGATGATGTTTTTCTTTTTTTTACTGCATGCAATTACCTGCTGATATAGAACATTATTGCCTCATACTAGAACCTAGTATGAGTTTTTTTTCCGCACATCTTTTCTGTTGTCTTAAATCAACTTTAAATCTTTTGACAATGCCTAGTGTGTTGTTGCTCCAACAGTCAGTCAGTTAAATCATGTCTTCACATTCCTGTTGAGTTTCCAGAACTTGCATATATTGGATTACCACTCATGGAATTAATGGGCATAGTTTGCTGAACTTGAATTTTGTTGGGTGTTGGTTCTCGTTAGAGGGTTAGAGCTGAATTAATATTGTGCCAATACTAGAGGTTTGTGTTTCAATCTGACTACTTTTAGTATATATAATTTAAAGGCTGATCCTATCTTAGTATCAAAATAACACCAGTACTGCTTGCTACTTGAGGTAACAGCTAACTACTATCTGAACAAGGCAGTACCTTTTTTTTTGCGGGGAACATGGCAGTATTTGAATGCCAAAAACAGCTGATTGCTATCTGAACAAGGCAACAGCTAATTACTATCTGAACAAGGCAACAGCTAATTACTAGCTGAACAAGGCAACAGCTACTTGAGGCAACAGCTAACTACTATCTGTACAAGGCAGAACTTGAATGCTGAAAACAACAATGGTATAGACCATTGGTTTATTTCAAGATACATTTTTAGCCTGGCCTTTTGTCTCAGGCTGAGTTTCATTTCCCTAACTACATGAATTGGAGTATTTTGATCCCGTATTTGGTAATCTTTTTGTGGAACTCTTATATGTACAGCACAAATTGCTGTTTTATATTTTCTACTTAAGGGTCACTCTGGGTGTTTTTATTCTGAATACCAAAATAGGGGAGGGAATGTGATGTATGATAGACTCTGCATTCTTTGGCTATACCTTGAAGTAGTAATCTCTAACCATGTGTCCTGTGACTTTTCAGATTGCTATCCCTATTGTCCCAACAATACGGGTCATTGTGACATTCACAAAGTTTGAGGAACTACAGCCTCTAGATGAGTTCGCCACCCCACCAACGAGCCCCACGCAGTTCCAGGACGCCAAGTCCAAAGATTCGGAAGGATCTGCGTCATGGTACTCATGGGTCAGAGGGGGCCGCGGTGCGCAGTCTAGCGACAGTGGGGATAGCAAGAGCTGGAAAGATGAGGTCGACCCGTTCCACATACCTTCCGAATACACCTGGGTCGACGCCACCGAGAAGAAACGTAGGATGAAGGCAAAGAAAGCCAAGAACAGGCGTGGCACAGCCCGGAAACAGTCGTCGAAAAGCACCTCCTCGGAAGGGGGCCAGCACCCTATGATGGACGGCTTCGAGTAAAACATTGTTACATCATAGTAAGGTTGCCCCCTGCGTCCGTCCATAAAGATGTTTATTTAGGTGCCGACGGGCGGGGCAGCAGCCCGCCGGGCGCAGACGGACGATGTCGTCCGAGACAACGCCGCGGCTCGGTACCCCGAGGAAAGTACAGGATGGATTTTTATACCCTGCTGCTAGTCTGTAATTCGATTCTTTTCTTTTTTGTCCCCCGCCGCCGCTTTTTCTTCATGTTGGATGTATGTTTGATGATGATGATGATACGGCCTTGTTTGTTGTTGTTGTTTAAAAGATGTGTTTGACAGGTGGAGGGGGCTGTAGTGTTCCCCCCTCCCGCTGTATGAATACTTGGAATATGCAGTCACTTTTTTCTTGCAACAGGGAAGCATCATACTCATGCTTATTTCTTCAAGTTGGATGTATCTTCGTTTCTCCTGCGCCGTATTGTTTTCGCCAACTCTGTTGACTCCTCTACGTCTACATCAGGCCTACGTGTTTACAGGAGATGATTTTACTATTGACTGTGATGTTCGTATACTGTAACTTTATCTGTTTTGATTTTACAGTCTGTACATCAAGTCTGTTTCTTCCCTAAAAAATGATGAAGAGGATGTTAAGATACAATTGCCTGTGATGTTGAGAACGATGGCCTGTTTTTTTAAGAGAAAAGTATACCTTTTGTCCCTCAACTCTTGGTGAAGTCTAGATTTGGTCCCTCAACTTTAAAACCGGACAACTTGCACCTCTAACTACCGAAACCGGACAAGGTTCGTCCCCGGACTCGGTTTTGACCCGTGCTCACTCATATTCCTGTAATTTTTTTATATCCGTGAACTTTTTGAAATCCACATACACTTTTCAACTCCGCATAGTTTTTTCAAGGTCGCATATTTTTTTCAAAAATGAACATACTTTTTTCAAATCAGCAAACTATTCTAAAATTCACATACTTTTTTCAAATCCGTGATTTTTTAACATTTACGTACCTTTTCCAAATCCCTGTATTTTTCCCAAGTTTGTGTAATTTTATCAAATCCAAGTATTTTTCAAAGCCATGAACTTTTTTTGAAATTCGCATACTTATTTCAAATCCACATGCTTTTCAAAGTCTGCATTTTTTTTTTCAAATCCGTGTTCCATTTATAATCCATGAATTTTGTTTGAAATTCACATACTTGTTTCAAGATGAAACAATTTCTGAAATCCACATATTTTTGCGTAAAAGAAGTCCATATCCGCGTACTTTTTTCAAGTTCGCATAAAATTTTCAAATTCATGAACTCTTTCAATAAAATGTACTCAAATTTGAAAGTGTACATCAATTTTAAGAAATTAAATGAACTTAAAAAACTAAATGAACTTTAAAAAAATACGCATATTTGAAAAAGTACATGAACTTGTAAAAAGTACGCAGATTTAAAAAAAGTACAATTTTTTTAAAAAGGTTCACGTATTTGAAAAAATAACCGAATTTGAAAACATCACGTGGACTTGGAAAAGGTATCCAAATTTGAGTCGGAACGGTCAAAACCGGGGTGGGACAGCACCAAAACCGGTCAAAACCGTTACCAGGGATGAATCTTGTCCGGTTTTAGAAATTAAGGGTGCAAGTTGTCCGGTTTTGGAGTTGAGGGACCAAATCTAGACTTCGTCAAGAATTAAGGGACGAAAAATATACTTTTCTCTTTTTTTAATTACCAGTGAGACCTACAGTACCAATAAACACCGTACGAGCGGATTAGTAAAACTTGAGGTACACACAGTTGCGTCAGCTTAAGTAAAATTATTACAGCATAACATAAATAGAAGAGATAATACCATTGGGAGTCATAGAACTTGTGTTCGATGTTCAGTTTGATGCTAAAACTTTAAAAATACGGATTTATGGTCATCCAACTTGCGTTCTTGTGCAAATACGGTCACTTTGGTCATATTCAGACGTATCCCGCGCTTACGTGGCACCCCAGCGTGGCTACGGCCCATTGTTAGTGACTGAAACAGCTCGCCGCATTTTTTCTTTGCAGAAGCACCCTTGCTCTGTATTTAATTAATTTAATTGAGCATAATTCCCTCTGTGTGTCCCACTTGTCAGCATGAGGTGGTGTGAAAAATGAAAATAAAAAGTACACGCACAGGGATTTGAACTCCATACACCTCGGGTACATCCATGCACAAGCAAACCACTACACCAACTACATATTCCTTTTTTTTGCGGGTGAACTACATATTCCTTACTGTAAAGAGGTAAACCTGATTTTATATTAGACGCAGTTCTTCCTAGATTCCGTTTTTCCCAGGTTCGGCTAGTAAAAACTGGATACAGGAAAATCTCGCCTTTTTTCACCAAAAAGCAATTAAGAAAACTGTTTCAAAATGTATAATGTTTAATTCATACCGTACAAAACTTTGTCATGAGCGAGAATTTTTTATTCCATTTTTTTCGAGAGGGTTGGAAAAATCCGGGTTTCAAAATATCTTGGCCACTCCAGTTTTTATCTACCAAAATTTTGAAATGGATTTTGAATTCAAATCTTTTTATCGTCTAAATATATTTAATTTAGCAAAAAAAAGTGATGCCTGTTATAGTGGTCAGCTCAACTCCTCTCTTATATAGAAGTTTGCATGTTCAATTCATTGTTACTGTTCGAGACCATTTTTATAAACAAGCATGAATCATTATGATATTGTATGCACACAAAAGTTATTATATTTGACATAGTTTTTGTCGTTTAAATTTAAAATTTCGGGCGACAACATTTTTTCCGGGGACCGCCAAATTTTCTAGGGACTGATCGGTTGTCGAAAATTCGGTCTGAGAGAAAAAGAACCTGAATACGAGTAGTGGTCGTAGACAATATATAAAATCGGGCTTCTCTCTTTACAGGCACTGGTTGGTACTTAGTGTAGCGCTGCAGTGTATCCACGCTTGAGGTTGAGAGATCGAATATGTTAGGCCACCCTTTTTTGTCACTCAATTCGCGTTGGGGCTTTTGTTTGTGATTAAACGAATTTTAGTTGATCATGTTGAACGTCAATCGGCACTGATGGAATGATGTATGGCGGACTATTTTATTGACAGGTCCCGTGTTTGAACCCCATGTGTGCCATCTTTTTTCATTATATTTGAAGGCTTTGTGCGCATTAAATAAATTGTGAGGGAGTCTCTATAAAAAATCCAGCGTGCTATGGTCACCTAGTGCCTTGTGCATTCCCAACCACTGACAAGTGGGCCTCCACCGGGCTGGCACGCCATGTGGACAGGCCATGTGGCTGGATACGAGAGGAAGCACCGTACATGCACGCGTGGACAAGTTATGTGACCATAAATTCGTATTTTTGAAGTTTTAGCATTAAACTGAACATTGAGCGCAAGTTTTATAACTCCCGGTGATATTACTACCTCTAAATAGAACGGATCACTGCTTCTAACGACCGCAGCAAAGCAGTGCGTGCAAATGATTTGGCCTACACTACGCGTCATCCGGCTGATACGAGGCTATTATATCAGCCGGGTCTACAGCCACACCATCAGGCCGCACTGACGTTCGCACTTTGCACCAATGTCCTCGTACACGGTTTTCAAAAAAAAGAGTTCTCGTACACGGTTTTTTTTTAAAAAGAGTCCTCGTACACGGTCACGCGACTCTCCTTTTAAACGAAAACTCTCCCAAGTCTTTTAGGCTATCTGCAACACCGACCCATAATCTAGGCACAAAAAAATATCAGTCCGGTAGTTCGTTAAAAAATATATTTTCTGCCTTGCCACACCGGCAATCCGAGCCTTCACACCAATATGTCATCACCACCGTGTAGGCCGCCTCCTTCTCCGTCCTCTCCAGCTCATCCTTCAGCTGTTGCAACATCTTGTAACGGACGGCTTGTATGATCGTTCTTACGTCGTCCTTCAAGGTCAACATCTTCGCGTCCTCCGTTGCTCACCTTCTTCTCTTTAAGCATGGTCTACTTCTCTTCGAGCTTAAGCTTCTTCTCGCTCGTCTCCATCAAAGTTAAACCACTCCTTTTCCCCATTGATGTCCGAGCGCTTGACGTATGCCTCATCTTTCTTCGTCAAGATGTCTTTGAATCTCTCTGTCATCTTTGCTGCCGCACCTTTTCGCTTTGTCATCTCATTCTCCCACTTCTTTCCCCGGAACCCTCTTCTAACTTTCTTGGGCGGTTCTTTTGTTGGGTTGGTTGGATCACTGGTTTCTTCCTCGTTTGCACTGGCGGCGCTCTTGGCAATGCATAGAATCCATTTGGATCATCCTTGCAACTTCAACCAACAATGTATGACAGTAAAGTTCTTCTTCTCCAACTTCTTGGACACAGTACCCACACGAGAAGGCTACAAAATAAAACATTGTCAATGATGACCCACAAGTATAGGAGATCAATCATAGTCCTTCCGATAAGCAAGAATGTCGAATCCAACGAGGAGCAGAAGAAATTAATAAGCGATTTTCAGGAAGGTATTCTCTTTGCTGCCGTATGCCTCATCTTTAATCGCTTGACATATGCCTCATCTTTCTTCGTCAAGATGTCTTTGAATCTCTCTGTCATCTTTGCTGCCGAACCTTTTCGCTTTGTCATCTCATTCTCCCACTTCTTTCCCCGGAACCCTCTTCTAACTTTCTTGGGCGGTTCTTTTGTTGGGTTGGTTGGATCACTGGTTTCTTCCTCGTTTGCACTGGCGGCGCTCTTGGCAATGCATAGAATCCATTTGGATCATCCTTGCAACTTCAACCAACAATGTATGACAGTAAAGTTCTTCTTCTCCAGCTTCTTGAACACAGTACCCACACGAGAAGGCTACAAAATAAAACATTGTCAATGATGACCCACAAGTATAGGAGATCAATCATAGTCCTTCCGATAAGCAAGAATGTTTAATAAGTGATTTTCAGTAAGGTATTCTCTGCAAGTGTTGTAAGATAATTGTGACAAATAGTTCGATAACAAAACAAGTAGTAGCAAGTAACAAGTAACCAAAGTAGCAAGGTGGC